CAGCCCTGAAGCTCACCTCAGCGCCTACAAAGTACCATGCATACAGTAGGTGCTCAGTAAATCTTGAAGTAGTCGAGGAGTGATTAATTAACCATCAATCAATGACACTAATTCCAGGATCTGTCCCACCTACAATATTTGGTAAAGACACACTTCCTGGAGTTCATCTTTGGTTAGGGAGTGAAAGGGATCCTGGGCAAATGACTGAATAAAAGAGTAAGAAGATGTGCTTAGGATGTCTGTCAGTGTGTGTCATGAAGAAGAGTGAGCAAAGGAGCCCCAACTAAAGACCAATTCTGCCCACAGGGTGTTCTGATATGGCTGTCTTAAGTCATCGTAAGTGCAATTACCAGTTAGCGGTAGACTTTAACTTAACCACTATTTAGTGTATTCATTTCTTCAGGGGCAGCTACGGCTCAAGGGGAGACTCTTCTCTCCTTAGAACAGTTTCATTACACCCATAGAATGCACACAACTCCATCTACTGAGGCATGTAATGACTCAAAACCTTCTAAAGACACAACTCACGTTGAGAGTGTAGGGAGAAGTATTATTCAGATAACTGGCTGTCTTTCCCTTCATGTGGACCTTGGGGAGTGCTGGGGGGGAGAATTCTGCTCCATTCCTGCTTGGCCTCCTCAGATCACCAGGTCTCCCGCTGGCATCTGGAAGTACTTCAGTGTTCTCCACATCAAGAGCCGCCCTGTTGTTCTCTGGGAGAGTGAGTACTGCAGCGTGCCCACCCACGCTGAGGGGCGTGTTTGCTTCATTTGGAACAGCAAACACACTTGAGGGAAACACTCCACTTTTGTGTGAAATAGTCTGTAATTTTGTCCTTCCTTCCTTCCTTCCTTCCTTCCTTCCTTCCTTCCTTCCTTCCTTCCTTCCTTCCCTCTTAATCCAATCCAAGGACACTTACATGGACCTGGGCTCTAGCTGGTTGTTTTGGTTTGCAAATTAAGTGTATGTTGACTTTGCACCCAGGCCTTGACTGTTAATGAAGGGCATCTATATTTCAAAGCAGGGAGCTAATTTGTATAATTTATTCCCGGGCAGTTTTACAGCCAGGATGCTTACTTCCCCTCCCCTAACCTCTTCAGGTTTAATCTGAATAGCAGCTACCCAAGCTGCTGCCTGCCTGCTTTGGGTTCACCTTCTCAGCGGGTGGAGGGAAGCGGCTTCATCCCCGCCAGCGCCTGCTCGAGAGGCTTGTCAAGGGACCAGACATTCACACTTTCCACTCAGTTTATAATCAACAAATTCTTACCCCGAGGGCTGCACTTGAAGTGCCTAGCTCCTGAGTTTCTCTTTCAAGGACTTGACTGTAAAAGCAACTTCTTCAACTTTCCAACTCCCTCTGCGTGTTCAGCCATGACCTGTGCGGTGGCGGTGGCACTTGTCGGTATCTGCCTCTGATTTGGCTGAGGGGTGGCCTGGCCGTCAGTCTTATGGTGATCATGGCTGGCTTATTTGCAGTGTGTTTATTCCCTTCCTCAGCTCACTCGGAGTTACACCGATTTTGGTTAATCAATGGTCTGACAGATTGAGCTCGATATCTTTTTTTTTTCCCTTTTCAATTGTACCCGCGTTTATCTCTCTGTCACAGATCAACCTAAGAACTCAGAGCTCTGACTGAGATCCACTTTTCTTTGACAAGTCCCCAAGTCTAGATAAGGGCTCCATTTTGAAGCTGCCCTCAATCCCTAGTTCTGTAAGCAGCAGAGGGCACGGGTGGCTTAAAACCTGGCACCCACAGTTCTCTAATCTTCTCTTTCTCTGTTACCTCCTTCCTAGGCCAGCCTAAGCCCCCAGGGTCCCTGAGAGGTTAAGTTTGCCTCCTTTGGACTTTGATAACTCTCTGTAATGATCTGCTAAGGAGTGTGCTACGTTTAGGATCTGGAAAGGCAGACAAAGGAAGCACACAGGCTTAAATTAATACTTGACAAGAAAAATGTCACTTTCCCATGATTAGGCTATTGCTAAGCAAAGTAGATTATATTCTTGATTCTATCTCTTGGTCAATGCAAGTATTTTCTTATGTTGTTACTCATTGCCGCTATCCTGTTCTCCTATCCTGTTCTCGGGAGCATTTTACTAAAATGCATTCTGGTTTATCTTGAATAAAAAAATATCAGTTTCTGGATGCAGACTGTTCATATTGATGCTGGAGGAACTGTTTCTTGACCATGGACACAGTGTATACTGAGATCATTCACATAGTCACGAATGTAGCCTTGTCTTTGGTCTGCTCTTGATGCGGAGCAGAGTTAACACAGCAAGTCAGGGACCGCTCTGTTCAGAAACGCCTGCTCATGAGGGTGGTCTCTGCTGGGAACGTGGCTGCAAATCATCGCCTCTGCTGATAATATGAGCTTCTGTGAACGCTGAGCGTGCCTCACTTCCCTTAAACGGCTGATACAAATGACTCGACTATACTAAACATCTGCTTTCCTGCCAGGAGTCTAGAATTTCTGAATGTCCTAGGCAGGGGGTGCCAGCATGACTAGCCCCCGTGAAAATCATACGCACTGAGTTGCTAATGGATTCCCTGGGTCCACTGCTATAGTTTTGTTGCTTGGGGCAAGGTACAATCTGGGTGAATCTTTGTAGAAGAGCAACTGTGAGCCTAAGAAGTCTATATGCTGATGCCCCCGGCAACTGCCTGAATTCTCTGTGTCCCACGAGACTCAGCTGTGAGTCTCTGCCATTAGTTATTATGAGATTCCAGAAAACCATTTGATGGCATTGTCATCCAAGATGCAGAATTGACCCCCGGTCTTCTTCACCCCTCACAGACCATTGCTCATTGTTCAGCTTAAATTCTCCTGAAGAGCTAAGGTCTGCTTAGTTATGTCTGTCTGTTCTTCTATCTCCCTGACAGACATCCCCTCACTGTAACGTTTTTCCTTTGTTTCATCATCTCTAAACTAATTTTACCAGGTCTATATCTTAGAATCGCAGCTAGGAAGGGCAGAGATCATCGGCGAGTAGAACTAGATGTCCTAGAAAAACATACATTCAAAGCGAGATCTGTAATATTACAATAGCTAATAATGTCGCTGCGGAGACCCTCGAAAGTATGCCCGTATATTTAAAGCTGCTCTGTGTTGGTTAATTTGAGACTTTAACTGGGCCAACTCTGTTTGGATGATACTGAGGATGAAACAATGCTGATATGGTCAGTGGTTTTGTCTTGCTCCAAAGCTGTGTGTTCACATTTTCCTGGAGTAGACAAGGTGTCCTGGGTCAGTATGAGGCTGGGCTGTTTTATCTTCTCAGTGTAGACGAGCAGCTGGTGTGCGGATGTTCAAAGTGTGGTCCAGTGATTTGAAAAGGAACAAGAAGCCAAGGGCTATGGGTCAGGACAGAGCAACTTTATGAAGACCCACTCGGTAGGGTATTAAGAGTGGTAGTAACTCTGAAATTCCTCACTAGGTAATAAATAGCCAAGCATGGAATTTCACGGGTCCCTTTGGTCTTGTGGAATCGGTTGATGCTTTAGGACATACAAAGTCACTCTATTCTAGGAGTTCCAGTTGGTGTCATTTACCAAGCCTATGCTTATTGCTGCCATCAGTATTTAAAAACAGTTTACTACATCCGAGCTTTGAGGGAGGGAACATGGAATAAAGTATTTCCCTGGGCACAGAACAGACCCTGTAGAAACTTCCAGATGTTTTCTCTCTCATCACGAGGGCCTTCTAGCTCCATATGTAGGGACCTTCGAGGACACAGGTGTCTGTGAGGGTCTTTGAATGTCGAGATTTCAGCCGAGTGCTTCAGAGCCCTAGTCTGCCCTACCAATAGGGGGTGATAGTGGTTGTTTACGTAGCATATAGGAAGCATTTGAAAGGGAAAGATGGTGTTTAGAAGTTCTTCGGTAGGAACGGGTGGTGGTGAAAGTGGATCACTTCTTATAGATGTGGCAAGCGAAGGGAGCCCTGAGGCCTGCGGTTAACTCCTGTTGACATCCGTGTGGCTCCTCACTGTCTGTCTCTGATGCTCCCTGGAAAATGTTTCTATTTTGTTTCTTAGGGATAGAGTCCAGGGCCCGGCATGTTACACTGAGCCCCGCCCCTAGGTGCTGAAAATACTTTTAAAGACAGCTGGGGTTGTGAGGGTTTTCATTGGTTGTGTCAGCCATACTGTCTACACTGCCAGTGATGCCGGCCACAGGCTTCTGGGAAATAACAACTTCAAAGACTCTTGAAAGCAAACTGATTTAAAATGTGCTTTAAAGTCTTCCTCCACCCGGGCATGTGCGAGCGCTTTCTCTTTGTTTTCAGGTCAGGATGCAGCTCTCAGTGCTCTGGTGGCATGAGCACTACCATGCTCTCTACGCCCCCTACCCTCATCATGAGGGGCATGGACTAACCCTCCGAAACCGTAAGCAAGCTCCCAATTAAATGCCTTGTTATATATATATATATATATATATATATATATATATATATATAAAGGAAAACCTTTCTTAAAAGCATACGAAAACAGCTAAGGAAAGACTTTTTTTTTTTGAACAATCTCTAAATGCCAGGGAAATGCAGCCACCATTGAATGAGCTGAAGTTAGCATTTTAAATTTCACACCCTGAAGACTGGCTCTGGCTCATTCCCTGGCCCAATTTAGAAATCCTATAGGATTGTCTAAAGCATGTGTGAGTTCAGAGAAACCCTGGTTAGTTACTGCAGACTCAAATGAACAGAGCACTATCACGCTAATTGCAAAGGTTCCCACGTGCAAGTGGTGTCGGCTCTCCCTGCACACTCAGAGATGCCCTGTGAGCTCACACGTTCTAAACATCCCCTAGCTTCACAAGCTAAAGAGAGAGTTGGCACACATACGTCTGGGGCTTAAGTGGACACGTGTGCCTTCCCATCTACTGACAGCAAGTACCTCTTCGGGTAGCCGTAGAGGACGGATGCGGTTGTATGTAAGAAAGGGAGAGAAAGGCTGCCCGTTTGTGGCACGCGGAAGAAGGAGAACGCGAGCGCGAGACGCACCATACTCTGGGACTTGGCCGGTGCCCCGCTTCAGCAGCAGCCTCACTCGCCGCCCTCCGGATTTGATGAGCTCTATTGCTCTGGCGTGCGTCATGTCCCTCGTGCTTTCCCCGTTGATTTCGATGATCTGATCCCCCACCTGCCAATCAGAGCAAAACGAAGTCAGGCAAACGCGGTGTGCATTTCCGACCGTTCAGATATCACCCCGCTTGTAAGGAGCACCTGTGCTGCTTGTGGGGCTCCTGGAAAAGGGTCACCCATGGCTGCACCCTGAGTCCGACCGACTTCATCGGAGGCCCCAGTTAAAATGCTGGGCGTTCAAAACATGGGAAGATAGGCCTGATGCTACAGTTCAGAATATCCTGGCGGCTTTGTGTGAGTTGAGAAGTAAATATTCTAAGGCTTTTTCATTGAACACTTCACCAGCCTTTGGCATTGCACAGTGTCTGTTTAGCACATTGGAAGGGATGATTAGTTTCTGTGCTGCTCTGAGAATATTTGCTATGCATCATTTAAATTTCTCTGGGTGCTGTTGCAATACTGCCTTCATGGTAAACAGCAGTTAGCTGCTACTCCAGGTAGATGATGAGTTCTCTCTCATTGTCCCTTGAATTAAAAATGAGACTCTCTGTTCTCTCCGCTCCTTAGGCAGTTCCCATTTAGTTTTGTGAATACACATTAGTATACAAAGAGCTTCAACTATGAGCATAACCTGTAACTCCCAAGGGCTGTTATTGTCATGGACATTTGAACTAAAATATATTGGACTTCAGGGCAAGTTACTTAAGACAAATTAGCCAGGGAAAACACAACGAGTTGCTTTGCAAAGCTTTATAGTAGATGGTTTCTTAAACAAAGAAGATCTCATCCTAGTTAATATCTATAAAGCAGAGAGAACCAAGAACTGCAGTCAAGTAGATCGGGCAGACAGAGCAGATAGTTGCTATCACCATGGCAACAGGGCACTGCAGTAAGAACCCCAACATATGTAACAAGGAGGTGGCATCTCTGTCTAAAGAGGATTATTCCAGAGGTCCAGACCCTTTACAATATAATGACAATAAGGATTTCCCTTCATGTGCTTGGTGGACTCCAGAGGTGTGGGTTGGGGCAGCGGAAGTGGATGGCATCATTTCTGTGGCATCCATATTACACAGGATAACTCAGAAGACAGGACTAAATGAGAGGTTATTGTCATCATATGCCAGACCACAATATTCTGTTTGAGTTTAGGGTACCTCTCAGAAGTTTGGGGTTTGTGTAGAAGGCATCAATTGGGCACTCACTTTAACCAGGGAGTAAACTGATGGGAGTGAGCTGGGAGTTAGATGTTTCTCTGAGTGCAGTGGAAAGATGGAGGTTGAGATGGTGGGCTGAGGGCTGTCTCATTATCCACCAGGTTAGACACTGTAAAGATCCTACCTTGAGGTGGAGACATGGCCTTGGCTCCTCCCTTCAGGTTAGGAATCTGTTTTGGGGGGAAGGCTCCATTGGGTGTGTAGGCATCATTAGAAAGTCACTGTTTATTTTGTCCTTTTCCTCTTTTTTTTTTAACCTTCTGTACTTTTCTTTTGGACTGCCAAAACCTAAGGAATCCTCCCTTCTCTATCTCTTCAGCACTGGGACGACATACTTCTGTGCCTGAACTTTCAACATTGGCACTGGGGATCTGAAATAGGGCTCCTTGTGCAGTGAGCATATCACTGGACCCAGATTTCTCTCCAGACCCCTCATTCCTCCCTTATTGGGAGCAACAACAGTCTTGGACTACACTGAGATATTACTAAATTTAGAGAAAAATTCCTTAGGGCAGAACTTCTGCTTGTAGTTATGCTGGGTGGTCTGGGGAGAAGAAAAAGGAAAAAGGCAGGGAAAGGAGGGGAGGAGGGATGGAGGGGAGGGAGGAGGGGAGGAGGGATGGAGGGGAGGGAGGAGGGGAGAAGGGATGGAGGGATGAGGAGTGGGGGAAGAGGGACAGAAAGAAGGGAGAGAGGGGAAGAGGGATGGAGGGGAGGAAGGAGGGGAGGAGGGATGGAGGGAGGAGGCATGGAGAGGGAAATACAGAGAAAAAGGCTTAATTTAGGCAGAGGATTTTGGACCCATGTGTGGCCTGGGACCTTGTATCTTTTGAGGAAATATGAAATATTATTATCTGTGGTCCCCTTGGGGCAGTAACAATCTTTAAGCAAAACTATGTCTTGGGGCAAGGCAGGTTGAGTCTCCCTGTTGCATAGCCTATTCTGTCCCACATCCCCAATATACCTCAGGTCCTACACCATGGTGGAGTTTTCTTTAACAAAATTATCACCAAATCCTCACACTTGCTTGAGGCTGTGTAGAGTAAATTCTTTTTTTTTTCTCTTCCTACTAGAAGGCCAAGGCAGGTAAAGGTTAGTCTCAGAACATAAGTGATCAGCAATTCACATGTTAAACTTTAAGTTCTGTACCGACACAGTTTGGTTTTGAGATAGTGTCTCTCTCACTGTGTCATTCAGGCTGGTTCCTATCTCTTCATGCTCCAGCCTCAGTCTCCAGAGTGCTGGGATTCTAGGCACGCACAGCCACACCCAGCCCTGGGCATGTTTGCACTGCTAAGTCACACAGAAAGTGTGTGGCTCAATGGTCTTTATAAGAAATACACTGAGTGCAGGGTTCATTCTACCTCTTTAGGGCCATCTGCATGCTCAGAGAGTTTATTTATTTATTTGTTTGTTCAGTTTTTTGAGGCAAGGTTTCACTACGTAGCCTTGGATGGCATGGAACTCTCTATGTAGACAAGGCTGGCTTCAAATTCATAGAGATCTGCCTGCCTCTGCCTCTGAGAGTGGTGGGATTAAAGGCGTGGGCCACCACGACCAGCTGGCAGGAGGTTGCTATCAGTTAATGGCTCTCATCTGACTACTACTGAACAAGAACTTATTTTCACGACTGTCGTGACTGTCACACGCATCACTTACAGACTGTTTTCCCCACTGACTCAATGTCATTTGTTCCTGCTTGGTCTGCTTTTCAGTTACAGCCAATGTGTTCATTCTCATGATACAGAGACATAAGCTTTGGACACCTCAGCATGCACCTCAAGTTTTCTGGAAATATTGCCTTAAGCAACTTGAGCCAAATTGTAACAATTTCTATAGTATTTGTAGGAAACCAGGTGAGATTTTCATAACAAACTCTTAGAGGTAAGTTAGAAGGAAGAAGGGGAGGATGAGAAGCTCACTCAAAAGACATTGTAACGTGCTAAAGGGGAAAACAAGTCAGAATTAGGGCCTTCATTGCTCCAGGTATCACCTCTGGCTACGCAAACCGGAGGATGCTGGTGGCCACAGGTGACCCACTGGAGCAAGGAGAGACACACTGATCCCTACTTGATAGTGACTTTTATATATTTTTAAAACTCTGAAAATGTTTATTTTTGTTTTAGCTCTGTTAGTGTTTTTCCTGTATGTTCACCAAATGCATGCCTGGTGTCTGTGGTGGTCAGAACAGGGCAGGTGAACCCCTGGAATTATGGTAACTGGTGGTTGCCAGCCAACACGTGACTTCTGGGAACCAAAATGCTTCCCTGCAAGGGCAGAGAGTGCTCTGAGCCAGCCTTCTGTTCAGGCTGATCCTTTGCATTTAATGACACTTTTTATGATTGACCTTTGATACACATACTATTACTATTATCCTTCTTATATTATTATTCCAAAGTACTAGAAGCAGAGTCCAAGCCTAATGCATAACAGGGCACTGAAATCTCAACCACATCTCCAGCCCTGTTAGTAACCATTTACAGCGAACATATTTTCCAAGGGCTCCCCCAAGTGTTTTTTTGACCACCTCATTCCTCTTAAATGAGATAGGACATGGCTACCTGTCGCATAGCCTGGTTCTTGTTACACAATGGGACAGGAGCCCATCAGGTTGGCAGGTTCTTCCATGCAGAAAATTTGGGACCCAATTGGAAATGGAAATAAATGTTTGAGAGTTCAAGCTGTGAATTTTATTTGTTGAAAATTGAGTTTTTGTCTTTATATCATGTTCTAGATACAGTAACCATTTGAAAGAGAAACTTTCTAATATCTCTCAAGAGAACCTACCCTAATAGAAACCACGAAATGACCTTGATCAAGGTGACACCTGAGTGCTCACCAGCCTAGGAGGGCATGGGGGTAAGGACCACAGTGGCTTTAAGACGCATCAGGCCACTGTATCGTTCTGAGGGCAACATCTTCTGGGCTTTTATGATTTGATGTTTACCCATTAAAAAGATGTAGTCAGTCACAGTCGAAGAAAACGTCAGCCTTTGACTGAGTGCACTGATCTGCAACAGAGTGTTGCTGGGCTGAACGTTCTAATTAGCAGACTGCCCTTGGCAGAGACTCAGGGAGCACTGTCTGCTCAAAAGCCTCAATTTCTCATTCAATTCTTTAAGACTCTAAATTTAAACATAGAAAAAAATTGTGAAATTACAGATAATTCAGTATCCCGACCATAGAAGCAGTCAGCCTTTAAATGACAGCTTGGTCTTGCCACCAAAGCTTTCATTTTCCCTGGCAGATACTCTGGACCCCAATCGTGTACACAGTTTTGTTAGACTGTTGACAACTCTCCTTAGTCTCCAGAACTCTTACTTGTGGTCGGTGTCCTACTTCTGAAGCGCTCTTCCTGCCTGTATGCGTGCTTGCGGCCGTCTCTTCCTGGCTCTCTGAGGACTGGAGAGTACTCCTCTTTTCTGCACTTCCATAGATGCTGTTTCTTTCGTCTACCTGGATGCTCCCCTTCATCTCAAACAGGTTCATCTTACTTATCCCTCAAGACCAACCTCAGCTATCAGATCCTCCAAGAGGGGCTTGTGGGATCCCACCAGCCTTGGGGCGCCCCTCTCCTGTACATTTCTTTAGAAGAGTTTCCTTTTCCTGTTTAATGTTGTAAGCTTCCCAACAGCATGAGTCCAGCCACAGGGGAACGTCCCTAAGTATAGTTTAACAAAGGATGCATGGATGGCTGAAGGAAGGGATTTTTCAGATATTTCATTTAATTCTGTGCTCTTTTTTTGCTTAAACTGGATTTAATTAAGATTTACATGAGGATTGACCTTGATTTTATGGTATATGTCACCTACTTGGCCCCAGATTGAGTAACACACAGCAT